CCCACATACATAAATACTTGGTTTTTTCTTTAATAGGATCATAGCTATGTACTTAACTTGATCTTATTTTCACATTAGGTTTTTAATGTTTCTCAGATTCAAAATAAACGCAAAGGATTTTTCACCAACCCTTGTTTCTCCTCTTTTTTCCCCAGAGATTACCTAAGCAAATTGAAGAACGTAATGAAAGACTGAAAGAAGAAATGTTAGGTAAGTTTGCTTCCCTTACTTTCTCTTGATCATAAACAGCTAGGAAGTAAGGGTGGGGACGTCAGTATTTTTATTCACTAGAAGAGAACAAAACAGATATAAATCACTTTAGGTCTCTTCCTTTTCTGTGGGCTGCAATACCATGGGGCTAGTGACTTCTTAGCCATTTCTGACCCCAGAAGGAGCAGAGTGGTTTAAGGAAGGTGTCAGCTTTTTCAGAAGCCAAATTTCTTTTTTGTTTTTCTTGGAGAATTTTCTTGCCTTCAAGAATGCAAGCATAATTCAACTCCCAACCTGAGATACCACCAACCTCTAAATCAGATAATAATTCCATAAAAACCGTTGGATTGCTTCACTGAGTAGTCACTCCTTAAGGTTTTAAGTTCATTAGGATGTAGTCAGTACTGCCAATACCAAGTCAGGATCAAGGGAATTTTTGTTTTGAAAATGGCACTGAGAGTCCCTTTAGTATGTGAGTAACACATGAGAGGGTGGGAATTAGGAGTAAACAGTAAGGGGAGAAAAGACTGGGGGTATAGGTAGGACAAATGGATTCATTCGATCCATGTTTTAGTTACTTCTTTTATTTGCCAAAGCATTTTAGAGATGGAATCTGAAAACCTCTCTTGAGCAGTCTGCTTGACTAAGAGGAGTGAGGGTTCCCAGACAAAGAGCATATTCTGCTTATAACCTGTGAGGTACTTCCCTGGTCGAGATCTGCTATGTGTTCTTCTTTATGAGTATTTTCTAAATATTTTATGTGAATTACATTTAATATATTGCAATCATGTGGGACTAAAGGAACAATCATTTAGAATAAATTCGTCCTGCCACTTATGGCCTCAGATATTAGTATCCAGAGAATGAGAACAAATTTCCCAAAGGATCGGTGTGATAGTAGAGTTGATTGAGAGGAAGCCATTAACCTAGACTATCCAGAGTCTTCTGGCCTTTGCTCGGTAGACTCAGACTCTAAGGAGAGCCTCTTCAGACTCAGGATATTTCTGGGACTTTCCTCAGTTTTTCCCAAAAAGGCTGTTTTCCTAATTTATATATTTAATTAAACTTGACATCATGTTTGAACAGAAAAATTATTTTGGAGGTACTCTTTCTTCAAAGAAGAGGGAAAAGAGCATTTTCTCATCTATTGTACTAACAATGATGCTTTATTTTAACAAAAACCAAAAAAGTATTTGAATGTAGCCGAGTTGGATTTCATGCTGGAAAAGATGACTTTGTGAATGGCCATGACTTGGAAGACAATTCTCTTAGGCTTTGGTCTCTAGGCCCATTTTTCTTTAAGCCAATCTAGTAAAGGGACTGGTGCAAACTGGATCTTACTACCCATTGTCAGTTCCAGATGGAATCAAAACTTCC